GAGGCCAGGACCAAAGAAAATGGAGCAGCAGCTGCAGGAGAGGAAACTCTGCTCTCACTGTTCATGAAGGACTCTCATAGAGGAGTATGTGACAAGGCCAGCACTGTGCATTCAGAGTCATGTACAATGGACCTATCTATAGCAAATAATGTTATGTCTTTGGGACTAAGAGACTGAAACTGAATCTCCAACTATACTGAACAAAAATATAAACGCAACAATTTCAAAGATTTTACTGAGTTACAGTTCACATAAGGAAATCAGTCAATTGAAATAAATTCATTAGGCACCAATCTATGGATTTCACATGACTGGGCAGGGGTGCAGCCGTGGGTGAGCCTTGGAGGGCATAAGCCCACCCACTGGGGAGCCAGGCCCAGCCAATCAGAATGAGTTTTTCCCCACAAAAGGGCATTTTTACAGACCCCCCCTCCCCCTCAGACGATCCCGCAGGTGAAGAAGCCGGATGTGGAGATCCTGGGCTGATGTGGTCTGCGGTTGTGAGGCTGGTTGGACGTACTGCCAAATTCTCTAAAACGACATTGGAGGCAGCTTATGGTAGATAAATGAACATTCAATTCTCTGGCAACAGCTCTGGTGGACATTCCTGCAGGTAGCATGCCAATTGCACGCTCCCTCAAAACTTGAGACATCTGTGGCATTGTGTTGTGTGACAAAACTGCACATTTTAAAGTGCCCTTTTATTGTCGCCAGCACAAGGTGCACCTGTGTAATGATCATGCTGTTGAATCAGCTTCTTGATATACCATACCTGTCAGGTGGATGGATTAACTTGGCAGTGGAGAAATGCTCACTAACAGGGATATAAAGAAATGAGTGCAACATTTTTTAGAGAAATAAGCTTTTTGTGCATATGGAAAATGTCTGTGATCTTTTTTATTTCAGCTCATGAAACATGGGACCAACACTTTACATGTTGCCTTTATCTTTTTGTTCAGTGTAGATTAAATGTTTGTTGATGTAGTGGTTAGCTAGTGGGGTCGGGCGTTTTAGTAACCCTGTTCCACTGCTACATAGCTGAACGTTGAATATTGTATCAAATAAGTTCTATTTGAATTTGTTCAAGTGATTGTGTGATGCTAACATTACAGCAACTGCCCTGTAATTGAATATTCACATACAACTCAAACTTTAATGCTTATCTTCCATTGCTTTCAATGCTCTTATCTTGGCTCAAGAACAAGTCATGCACACATATCCCAACTAAGCATTTCTGTCCCTAATAAAACCATGCAAATGAATATATTAAGGAGGGATGGCAACCCACAATTTTACTGTGGCATTGTACCATGATGCTGAGTACCAGTCAGGGAAGCCAGGGAACACTAATGCCAACCATTCAACCATTCACACTGTTGCCCCTGAAACCCAGTTGCTAGGAGACCCTGTCCTACCATCTGCTGCTATTGAAAAAGAGCAGGAGGCCCGGGCACAACCGAAAGCCCGGTGATGATAACCAGCTGAGGCTTATACCCTCTTCAGACATCCAATGTACAATTACACATTATGTACCAGCATTAGAGAGTCAGGCAGATGTTGGGACAAATTATTTTGTCTCATGGGATAATAAATGCATGCATGAACAGGTGTCAGTTATGCAAGTATCTCTGAAATCGATGATCTTAATAGTGCTATCCTAGCAGCCGGAAAGTCAAAGCATACAGAGCCTTCAGAAAGTATTCACACCCCTTTTCCAAATGTTGTTGTGTTACAACCTGAATTTAAAATGGATTAAATTGAGATTTTATGTCACTTGCCTACACACAATACCCCATAATGTCAAAGTCGAATTATGTTTTTAGATTTTTATAAACAAATTAATTAAAAATGAACAGCTGAAATGTTTTCAGTCAATAGGTATTCAACCCCTTCGTTATGGCAAGCCTACATACGTTCAGGGGTAGAAATGTGCTTAACAAGTCACATTATAAGTTGCATGGACTCACTCTGTGTGCAATAATAGTATTTAACATGATTTTTGAATGACTACCTAATCTCTGTAAGGTCCCTCAGTTGAGCAGTGAAAGGTTTTACAATGTCTTGCAAAGAAGGGCACCTATTGGTCGATTTTTTTTAACCTTCATTTAACTAGGCAAGTCAGTTAAGAACAAATTCTTATTTACAATGACGGCCTACACCGGCCAACGCTGGGCCAATTGTGCGCCGCCCTATGGGACTCCCAATCACGGCCGGTTGTGATACAGCCTGGAATCGAACCAGGGAGTCTGTAGTGACGCCTCAAGCACTGAGATGCAGTGCCTTAGACCGCTGCGCCACTCACCACATTGAATATCCATTTGAGCTAATACAGATACCGGCGTCCTTCCTAACTCAGTTGCTGGAGAGGAAGGATCCGCTCTGGGATTTCACCATGAGGCAAATGGAGACTTTAAAACAGTTACAGAGTTTAATGGCTGTGATAGGAGAAAACTTTGGATGGATCAACAACATTTTAGTTACTCCACAATACTAACCTAAATGACAGAATGAAAAGAAGGAAGCGTGTACAGAAATATTCCAAAACATGCAGTGTTTGCAATAAGGCACTAAAGTAAAACTGCAAAAAATGTGGCAAAGGAACTTTATGTCCCGAATACAAAGCGTAATGTTTGGGGCAAATCTAACAACATATCACAGAGTACCACTCTTCATATTTTCAAGCATGGTGGTGGCTGCATCATGTTATAGTTATGCTTGTCATCAGCAAGGACAAAGATGTTTTTTTGGATAAAAAGAAACAGAATATAGCTAATCCCAGGCAAAATCCTAGAGGAAAACCTACTTCAGTCTGCTTTCCAACAGACACCTTTCAGCAGGACAATAACGTAAAACACAAGGCCAAATCTACACTGGAGTTGCTTACCAAGACGACACTGAATGTACCAGAGTGGCCTAGTTACAGTATTGACTTAAATCGGCTTGGAAATCTATGGCAAGACCTGAAAATGGCTGTCTAGCAACGATCAACAACCAACCTGACAGAGCTTGAAGAATTTAAAAAAGAATAATGTGCAAAGATTGTACAATCCAGGTGTGCAAAGCTCTTAGACTTACCCAGAAAGACTCACAGCTGTAATCGCTACCAAAGGTGATTCTAACATGTATTGACTCAGCGGTGTGAATACGGGGCGGCAGGTAGCTTAGTGGTTAAGAGCGTTGTGCCAGTAACCGAAAGGTCGCTGGTTCTAATCCCCGAGCCAACTAGGTGAAAAATCTGTCGATGTGCCCTTGAGCAAGGCACTTAACCCTAATTGCTCCTGTAAGTCGCTCTTGATAAGAGCGTCTGCTAAATGATGTAAATGAGATATTTCTGTAACATTGTTAAAAATATGTTTTCACTTTGTCATTTTGAGGTATTGTGTGTGTATATGGGTGAGAATATATTTTTTAAAATCCATTTTGAATTCAGGCTGTAACACAACAAAATGTGGAATAAGTCAAGGGGTATGAATACTTTCTGAAGACACTGTATGTACAATACAATGAGCCTGGTTGCCAGATCTGTTTCAGCCAGCTTTTTTGTGGTTGTTGTCATCTCAAAAGCCAAAAGGAGTTGGCTAAAGTACAAAACAAGAATAGCAACCTGGCGAGTATAAAACATACTTTGGCCAGATCGATCAAATGAGAATCTTTATTGAGTCCCCATATATTGCCATCAATTTTCCTTCCTTTACAAAACACATTTTGTTTTTTTTAATAGTAAAAAAGTAGGAAATCTAACAGACAGCAGAGCATAGACTAAAATAATCATCAATTGAATAAATGAATAAATAAAACATTGAATATGGCTATTTACATGGTGTAATACTGTTTATCGTTATATAATAATGCATATGTTCATAGTGAATATACAGGTATTAACTTGTAATTGTCTCAACCAAACAATGCATTATCTCACAGAGAAAGGCCAAGGTTCGACAGTGGCTCTCGGCCAATCACATTCTTTCATTCGACAACTTGCTGATACAAGCAATCAAGGGCAAGGTCCATTGTTTGGTCAACTTTTAGTTGATGGGAGTCTTTGGTTGTTGTGCTGGGATGTGTGACACCCTCTGATTGGGTATTCTGTGGGTTTCGATTGGTTCTCCTGTTCCAGACTGTAGAAAGTCAATTTTAACTGTCGTAATACTCAAATCTTGTAAAGTCAAAACCAACAACAAAACAAATAAGCGAGGAGGCAGACCCAGGTAAACAGAGAACCACCAGTTTACAAGCATCAGTCTGTGTGAGGCGCCAGTTAGAAGTTGCCCTTAGAACCAGTCAATTTGAACTGTCATCACCTTTATAATGTCAGCATTGCTTTGAGACTGAAAAGAGCTACGGGTGCTAACTTCTTCCCCCCGGTCTCTTTACCCAGTTGACATGTAAACCTCTTGCACTCTGCCACTGTTCCTCGCACACACCACCATTACTAAAACATTCACAGAGGGTGGTAATAGCACATTCAGAAAGGCAAAAGGAAGACACAACTTGAGTGACACCTCATTTTTAAGATTGCTACCATTGGAAGTGAGGGTGGAACCAATAAAGCTACTATCTTTTAACAAAGGGGGAGAAGGGGATTGTCCCCAAACAATACCAAATAAATTAATAAATACATCAATAACTTAAACACATGCTCGAATAAAAAAACTAAGAACAGCAAAGATTTTTTTCAGATGAACAGTCAAGCAGTTTTAGATTAATGACAATCTGTTTCAATCTCAATTCCGAACGATAAGGTGCTGATTTGGTTGAAAGGAGTTTTGGACGATTTCTGGCTTCAAGAAGTCTGGTGATTCTGGTTGGTGTCTTCCATGAGTCTGCCCATCATAGAGATCCTATAAAATTATCTGGAGTCCATTGAAACATAGTAACCAACAAATTCATTCATGTGGAATGATCCACGTAGGGTAGTGAGGGTGATTGCAGGTTAAAAAAACGGAATGTTGAATAGAATTTCACCTCATTGTAGGGTTGGTGGGCCTTGGGGTTGGGGGGGGGGTCCATTCTTGTCTGTCCAGTACCATGGTCATTGTCCATCTCATTCATCCCCCAGAGAGACCATAACCTATGACCTATAACCCTTAACCTGTGGGATCCTGTCCACCCTGAGGCCTGAGACAAGCTTCAGTATGCAGAGTGAATACAAACATCTCTGTGCGTGTGTGTTTGTGCATATCTGTATATGCTTCAGACTGGAGATTATCATTCTGGTAAACACACATGCACAGACACTCGCACACCCTTACACCTGTGTATTGTGGGGGTACATGAGCTGTGTGTCAGGTGGATAGGGTCATGTCGATGAGCTAGCGGTAAACCTTATTGGTGAGGTCAGCCCCCTCAGTCCCATCCATTGTCCTTGATCATGTGGGCCAGCTCGATAATGAACTTCCCCTCCTTGTACTTCTGACTGCTCTCAAAGGCATGCTCCTGCAGAGAGAGAGAGAGAGAGAGAGAGAGAGAGAGCGAGAGAGAGAGAGAGAGAGAGAGAAGAGAGAGAGAGAGAGAGAGAGAAGAGAGAGAGAGAGAGGAGAGAGAGAGAGAGGAGAGAGGGAGCGCGAGAGAGGTAAGGGCAGATGATGAGAGAGAGAGACGAGGAGAGGGAGGAAGACGAGAGAGTTTTAAGAGATTAAAACTGGAGCATTTTCAAGAATGTAAAAAACAGTGTGCTTTGATGTTTTCTATCTGGGATAATCTCCCTCTCTTGGTGTTTATATACGTAATCCTAATAAAACACTCAGGGTCCTACACTTAGTGTGTGTGTTTGTGAGTGTGCGGTAGAGTGACTGTGCATGGGAGAGAGTGATCATGTGTGTTTATGTGCATGTGCATGGGAGAGAGTGATCATGTGTGTTTATGTGCATGTGCATGGGAGAGAGTGATCATGTGTGTTTATGTGCATGTACATGGGAGAGAGTTAGAGTGTGTGTTTATGTGCATGGGAGAGAGTTAGAGTGTGTGTTTTTGTGTGCTTATCATCCCCCTTTGATAAGTGTACTAGGTCAGCAGCAGCACTTTTGGCCCTTTGACAGTGCTGGAGCATTAGGCCTCGTGGAGGATATTAATAACATCACACAGATGGCAACGCCATAAAACACTACAAGGCCACGTACTGCCCGGGTCTCTCTCACTGACCCCACCCACACACACAGCCTAACCCACATAGTTAGCCCACAAAGCGAAGTCAGGGACACCAGCAATGTGGAGCATTTGTTTATCATGTCTATAGATGTGTTATACACCTGCATGTCTAGAGATGTTTGTGGGGGATTCCTATGTAATTAGCTACTTACGTATTTCCAGCCCAGCGTGGTTTTACAATTTTCACAGTAGATATCAGCCACCGCGTGAAGCCCTGTCAACAACACCCTCTCTTCTGCTGGTCCACACCCCACGTTCACCCTGAGAGGGAGAGCGAGAGGAATAATGTGATAAACGGAGTGAAATGTGAAGAAAATAAAATGTGAGAAATAGAGAGGGGTGGCAGAGGAGAGAGGGATGAAAAAGTGACATTATAGGGGTTTGATTTGGAGAATAATAAAAATAGGCTCAGGTACTTACACTGAGTTGAAGAGGTACGCTCGGCCTTGACTTCCTTGGAAGGACTGGATGAGAGACAAAGAGAGAGGGAGAACAGGGTGAGAAAAGTAATACATTCCTATCACGGGAGTAGGCATTAAGAATGGTCTGTTGTTATTTTCACCTGTTTTACACAGTGATGCTAGCTTCAGGGCAGACACATGGCATCGCTCACGTTCCTAAAACGAAGGTATCCCATTCTCTATCCCATTAAAAACATTTCAATTATATGCTAATATGGTATTGTTTTTCCACTTCTATGGTACATACCTTTAACCTATATCAATTCAAGCTTTTAAGAACAATGTATTTTCAACAACGACAAGGGGCCCCGTGTAGCTCAGTTGGTAGAGCATGGCGCTTGCAACGCCAGGGTTGTGGGTTCGATTCCCACGGGGGGCCAGTATGAAAAAATGTATGCACTCACTAACTGTAAGTCACTCTGGATAAGAGCGTCTGCTAAATGACTAAAATGTAAATGTAAAAATTCCCAGGAGACACATAATACAAGCCTCCTTTTGATTGGCCGAGTCAGAGTTCTGCCCTACCATATGGCCATAGAAAAAACAGCCCTGAGGGAGGAGGCTTTATGATTGGCTGCTTTTCCCGAGCTGGTAGTGTGTGTCGCATCGTGACATGTGGGTAGCTCCGTAGCCACCAGTAGCCTGGGTGGATCTGTATGGTGGGGGGGATGGATCTCTGTGGTGTAGCGTGGGGGGTGGATCTGTGTGGTGTGTGTGTATGGTGGGGGGATGGATCTCTGTGGTGTAGCGTGGGGGGTGGAGCTGGGTGGTGTAAGGGTGGTGTGGAGCTATATGGTATGGGGTGGTTCTCTGTAGCTCAGTTGCTAGAGCATGGCGCTTGCAACGGCAGGATAGTGGGTTCGATTCCCAGGACCACCCATAAAATGTACGTACACATGACTGTAAGTCGCTTTGGATATGACAGAGGTGATGTGGTAGTGTGGTACTGTGGTGTAGTGTCATGTATGGGGGTGGTGTGGAGCTGTATGGGGTGTTGTGTTTGGGGGGTTGTGTCGAGCTGTGTGGTGTTTGGGGATGTGGTGTGGAGCTGTGTTTGGGGGGGGTGGTGTGGAGCTTTTTTGGGGTATGTGTGGTGTAGTGTGGGGGTGTGGAGCTGTATGGTAGTGTTGTATATGGGTAGGTGTGGAGCTGTATGGGGTGGTGTGGTGTGGTATGCCCTGACTGGCTCCACAGACGGAGCAGGAAGTAGCAGATGGCTGTGACCTTGGAATTGGGGTGGGAATGGCTGCACTCCACACCAGAAACTGAACACTAGCCAATCAGGACAGGGCCAGAGCCCCGACAAAGGATTGACCTATGAATGAGACCCAGTGGTGCCTGCTGGGATAGCGGTTAGGATGAGAGAGTGGAGCTGTGAAGTGGCTATGTTCCATGCTATCTAATATACTGTAGATAAGCATGAAGCCTCTATGGTTTAACACACACACACATTCTTTCTTAATTTTTCTCACTCTCTGGCTTTCTCACACACAGACACACATTACATACAAAATCAACCACCCACAAACGCACTATCATTGCCCTTTTTATTTTAGTCAGACATAAAAACTTGCTGCTTCTATGGAAACTGTGTGTTTGCAGAGTGAAGACAGTCAATCTGCTTTGATGTGCTGCTGGCTTACACTAAAAGCCCACTAGTGTCTATGAAAAGCTGTGAGAGGCCATGTGTACGTGTGCGTGCGTGTTTATTAGAGAGCTTTGTGGCCTGGCCTCTCCATCCAGCCGGGGATATTACCCATGATGCTCTAGTCTAGAGAGTTCCAGGAGGGGACAGTAATATGATGACCTCTCTCGCCCCTCTCTTTCATGGTTTGATCTCGCTCTCATTTCCCTTCATTTCTCTCTTGCAGTTGCACACAAAGCTAAATGGATTAAGGGCTTTTCCTTGATCCTAACATGTGTTAAGTAAGTCAGGGCCGTTACTGTGTTAATGACCACAACAACTGGTGGAATAAAGTGAACCCGGGTCAACCTGGTGCAACATGATGAACGTCTGATGTTAGCGTAAGCAAATGAGCAAAGGAAGCAATCACGGTGAGACAGAATCTACTCTCGGTCAAACGCACACGCACACACACACACTGAGGCCCTGCAGTAGATGCTAGGAAGTGTGCCAGCAGTAGGATTTACAGCTGTGAAAATATGAGGCTTATCTACAACTGGCCTGCAGCTCCTCTGCTATGCAGCTTCATTAACAAGACATAAAGCTTCCTACACATGACGTATCTGCCCTATTCACAATTGTATTTCAACTTTTTTGTCCTTGCCGAAAAAGCCTACCTTGGAGATGAGCTCGTCATGGTTGGCCAGGTGTGCTCGACAGTGGATGCAGCTGTAGGTACGGTGGCAGTTGGGCAGGTAGGCCTGGAAGGTCTTGGAGCGCGTCATGACGACAGTTGCCTGGGAGACAGTGGCGGTTGCAGGGGCGACGGCGTTGCTGTTGCTGGGCGAAGTATGGGGGCGGTGCAGGAAGGGGCTGCCGGCCCAGGACGGCTCGCAGGGGAAGCACCGCAACACACAGGTGAGGGCCGTGGTGGTGCGCAGGGTGGGAGGCACACACCTGGGACACACACACATGCACACTTTAATGTGGATCCACAATGACAGATCGTGTTTATCATGAAGGCACAGAAATAGTTTGTGTCGAGAATGCCAAATATGAATATTACACACATGCATAAACGTGCGCGCACACAGACACAATGACCCGGACATACACACACACAGGAAAATCATTTTTGAAAAACACTGGTTCATTAACTCAATCTTTCCAACAAGTCTTACTTAAGGCTCTCTCTCGTGCTCTCTCACATCAAAGCTTGGTACGACTTAATGACTATGATATTTCTGTATGGATGTGTCCAGGAGTGTGTAGCTAAATGTATGCGTGTGGTCTATAGACTACGGCAACCACACACACACACACACACACACACACAAAGAGTAACTGAGGGAAGGAAAGGTGTGTAGGACAGCATGTGTATGCAGTAGAGGCGGAGCTAGTAAAATGCTATTGCTACTGGCCTCAGTGGCATGCTACTGAGCCAGCACCAAAATGGTAAAAATTGATGTACATTATCGTGGTTTTTATGAACTCACATCTCACAACATAGCTTTTCTTAGAGTTGCACTGTTTAATAGCTCTGGAATGATATCCACCTGTACAATGTTGGCAGTGGCTTTGAATTCTAAAACAGGCTTAAATACATTTACATTTTAGTCATTTAGCAGATGCTCTTATCCAGAGCGACTTACAGTTAATTAAAACAACCTGCTGTACACGCATCATACTGTGACACTTTCTGTATTTTGAATGTTCTATATCTTGAAAACTTAACAGTGGACAAATGAAACAAATACCAAAATATAGTTTGAGTGGTATTTTCCTTACATGTCAATATACCAAGCACTTTGAGAAAAGGATCCCAAAACTGTCCGTGAAGCAAAAATAACATGATAAGATGAGATCTTTTAACCTTGCTAATTGAATGAAAGTAAAGATTTGCTGAGCTAATCAAACGCATGGCAGAGAGGTTAGGCGCACACACAGGCGATTGATTAGACGCTGTGATCTGAGAGGGTTGTGACATCAGTACCACAAAGCCAGTTCTGAAGAGATAACAGACTAGCAGAAAGGGAGGAATGGTACACTACTGCTGTACTGTACTGCACCCACTTATCACACAGTTTGTCACAACCACTGATCGCGTGCTTTGACGTGCAACGCGATAAAAAGGTAGTCTGCTTCATAGCAAAATAGCATTCCAACTACCCTTGACAAATAAAAACACGCCATGCTTTTTGATAGGTCTACATTTCACCTGTCCTGACTGCAAGACAACAGCAAGGAAGCAGCCACAACCTCGTAATTCAGACTCATGTAAGGTTTCCAATTTGTAACATTTTTGGGATGACTCTTTGGATGATTCCATCCTGTGAAGAAGGGCTACCTCATTTGCCCCTCTGGCCACATAACCAATGGCCATTCACCTATTTTGCCCTTTGTGGTCCCTTTACAGGAGCCCTATACTGTTAGTTCACACTAGCCATACAGAGGGGTTCCAGAATGCTCACTCCTGTATCCCCACTCAGCAGTTCCCGCTAGGTAAGCGGCTCATGCCATGTAAGCCTGCTGTAAAGCCTGCTGACTAAGGACCTAGGGCCTGGCACAATATGGAGGGGGCACCCACCACCCTCTGAGAGAAGAATGGAAGTGCTGAGCTATCTCTCTCTCTCTGGGCAAGGGTCACCGCCATGGTGGCCAGTCAAAGTGACAACAGCCATGACACTAAGGCTCACTGTTACCTATGAGCTGACACTGTGTGTGTGTGTGTGTGTCTTTGTTTGTGTGTGTGTGTGTACCATTCAAATGGCCTATCAAACAGTCAAGCGCAATCTAAAATTATTAAAGGCGCTTGCTGGATCAGTTGAGCCTGTTCAAATAAACACACATCCCCTCTTGACCGAATCAAGCTTGGGATGACAAACGTTCATTTATTGTGACCACCATTGATATGAAAAAGGAAGCGTGCCCATAGCTACCTCCTGTCTAATCATTGCCATCCTGGCCATTCAGAAGCCCCAATCAATAACTTACAGATTAGCCTAACCATGTCAGCCCGGGAAGAGAAAATGACACCCCTCTCCAAACAAAAAGAGGTTGGCTGGGCTATATAAGCCATACATTGTCCGCTTTGTCTATGGGCAACAGCTGCAGCACCTCACACAGACTGCACGTGTTTGTTTGTGAGTGTGTGTGTATGCGTGCGTGTGTATGCGGTGTGTGCCCACCAATGACACCAATCGGCAGGCATCACCAGCTATTCTCTACCCTAACAAGCACAAATGACAGACTCCATCCTTAATGTCTTCCCACTGGGCAAAATCAATTAAAACAAAAGCAAGCCTCTACACGGTTCATTAACAGAGCCTTGATAACAGCTCTACCTTCACCCCAGCAATGCGGTTAAAAAGAAACGCAAATATCAAAATACTAAATATGAAACACTGAAACAACAGCCAACCCGCAAAGTTAAGAGATGACAAGCTATCATAGTGGGGTCGTTTCAAATAGGCCTAAAATCCAACCCAGCAACTATTTAAATAGATCTAAAAGCCTGGAAATGACTGCCTGGCTACCAATGAGCCCCAGTCTTCCAACCGTCCCATGTAGAGATAGAGTGAACTTCATGTGCCTCAGCCCATCAAAGGAACTTGGAGAATTTTAATCGAAGGATCTGAATTAATCTACTATAGGCTTATGTAGCGACACCACGCCACGACACTGATCTCAAGAGCGGAGTCGCCCCCACCACTCTCGTCCACACCGTCTGGCCAGGAAGGACACCTCCTTCTCCAAATCCACATCTCCAACCTACATTCAACACAGGACGGAGACGCCAACCAATATTCATAAGTCACCGAAGGAGACCCCTCTCCATGGGGAAGGAAGATCTCCATTCTCCTTCATGGTTTCAGATCACCAAGGAACACCCCCAGCGGAGAACAGCCCCTCTACCTCTTCTTCCCCCCCCTTTTCAAATTGAGATTAGTCTGCTACCAAATCGCCGCCATTGAATAACAAAGGAACTAGCCTTGGTGGAGGCTGAAACAAATGGTCCTCTGTCAATGGAAGGGCCCTTGACGTTTGCACTACAAAAGAGATGTTGCAGACTGTAGGACACCAAGGAACCAGAATGCTGGGGGGGGGGGAGAAGGATTACTGTTATACTATTCCAGGTATTCCTGAAAGAGGTAGGGTTTCAAGTGTCTCCGGAAGGTGATCAGTGACTCCGCTGTCCTGGCGTCGTGGGGGAGCTTGTTCCACCATTGGGGTGCCAGAGCAGCGAATAGCTTTGACTGGGCTGAGCAGGAACTGTGCTTCCGTAGAGGTAGGGGGGCTAGCAGGCCAGAGGTGGATGAACGTAGTGCCCTCGTTTTGGGTGTAGGGTCTGATCAGAGCCTGAAGGTAAGGAGGTGCCGTTCCCCTCACAGCTCCGTAGGCAAGCACCATGGTTTTGTAGTAGATGCAAGCTTCAACTGGAAGCCAGTGGAGTGTGCGGAGGAGCGGGGTGACATGAGAGAACTTGGGAAGTTTGAACACCAGACGGGCTGCAGCGTTCTGGATAAGTTGTAGCTTAGCTAACTGACGAAGAGTTTTCAGTTAAGATTACATCTGTTAGTGTTTGTGAGGTTTTGCTCAGCCAACTAGCTAGAACAACAAAGGCATCTGTGCCCTTGGAATGGAGATGAGGCTGGCATGGCATGAGTGACGGTCATGAGAAAACACAGGGGTGTGAGAGGGAGAGAGAGAACGAGATGATCATCTAAAAGAGGGCAGGCAGAACGAGGACAGAGATGGAGAGAGAAATAAGAGAATAAGGAAAACCAGAAAGAGATAAATAAATAAGAGAATGAAAGACAACAGTAGGTTGAGAGAGAGCTAGAGACATGATAAAATATAATAAATAAATAAAGGAGAGAGAGTGGGAGAACCAGGTCAGTGGCAGCAGTAGTACTGGTGTCAGGGACATTATGCTCCGATTTTTCCAGCCTCTGTGATTGGCGATTGAATGGCAAAGTGAGCTACCGTACTAACCTCAGTCTAGCCATACACAGCCATTTGTATGCAGACTGACTGAGAAAAAGCCTCCTACTCAGAAGGCCCTGGGGCTAGCAACAACACTCCCACACAGCTATATCGCTGTTGCACTGCTCGACATATTGGCACTGACTTCATGCCAAATGCTAGGATTTTGTGCTTATGCTTACAATTATTTAAAACGCTGTTTTTTTGTCATGGTACTGAGTGGCTAAGGAAGAGGTGACAAACATTGAGCGCTTGACAATATCAAGTGATGCATCTACTATGATGTGTTCCATAGGTAGCTTCATTTGGGTGGTTTTAAAACTATCTGTTAAGTGGTTGATTGATTTGCCAGTTAGGTTGCTATTTCGTCATATAATGACCTTAAGTCAGATGACAATGAAATGTCCAAAGGAACAGAGATGTTACTGTGGGTAAAAATAACTACCCTTTCCCCCTCTGCCAACTTGGTCGAGTTGATTTAAAGTAGAGTAGGGAGAGAAATAAAGAGAATGAAAGACTGCAGTAGGATGAGGGACAGATAGACATGATAAAATGATAAATAAATCAAGGAGAGAGTGGGAGAACCAGGTCAGTGGCAGCAGTAGTGCTGGTGTCAGGTGTGTGTGAGTGTGACCAGACTAGGCTGCTGCTGTGTCTAGGCCAGGGACTCCATCACCAGACTGCACATATGGCTCCCAGTAACTCAGCACCGCTAGGCTACCTAGCGCTCATCATCCAGTAGCAGAGCAGCAGACCCACAGGGGGCAGACAGACAGTCTGGCCAGACAGACAGTCAGGGGGCTGGGCCACTGAGGGCTGGCTGGATGGCTGGCCGATGATGTTGGCAGAGGATGGATACACACACACACACACTGACATGCATGTAGGCCTACATTGACCTACACACATTTTGACAAACACAACATACACATGGAAACACTCACATGCAATCACGCACGAGCACACACTCATCACATACGCTGCAGCTACTGTTTATTATCTATCCTAGGGGTAGGCAACCCTGGTCCTGGAGTGCCACAGGCACTTCCTGTTTTTAATTTAATCGACCTGAAAGACCAGGTGTGTTGAATTTAGGCAATCACTGAACTGATCAATTAGCTCAGTTGGTCAGGTGTGGTGCCTAGTTGGAACAAAATCCTGCACTACCTGGGGCTCTCCAGGAACAGGATTCCTACCCCTGATCTATCCTGTTACCTATTCACTTTACCCCTACCTACACTACATAGCCAAAAGTATGTGGACACCTGCTCGTCAAACTACTCATTCCAAAATCATGGGCATTAATATGGAGTTGGTCCTCTCTTTGCTGCTATAACAGCCTCCACTCTTCTGGGAAGGCTTTCCACTAGATGTTGGAACATTGCTGCGGGGACTTGCTTACATTCAGCCACAAGAGCATTAGTGAGGTCGGGCACTGATGTTGGGCGATTAGGCCTGGCTCGCAGTCGGCGTTCCAATTCATCCCAAAGGTGTTTGATGAGGTTGAAGTCAGGGCAATGTGCAGGCCAGTCAAGTTCTTCCACACAGATCTCGACAAACCATTTCTGTATGGACCTCGCTTTGTGCACAGGGGCATTGTCATGCTGAAACAGGAAAGGGCCTTCGCCAAACTGTTGCCACAAAGTTGGAAGCAAAGAATAATCTAGAATGTAATTGTATGCTGTAGTCTTAAGATTTCCCTTCACTAGAACTAAGGGGCCTAGCCTGAACCATGAAAAACAGCCCCAGACCATTATTCCTCCCCCACCAAACTTTACAGTTGGCACTATGCATTGGAGCAGGCAGCATTCTCCTGGCATCTGCCAAAACCAGATTTGTCCGTCGGACTGCCAGATGGTGAAGCCTGATTCATCACTCCAGAGAACGCGTTTCCACTGCTCCAGAGTCCAATGGCGGCGAGCTTTACACCACTCCAGCCGACGATTGGCATTGCGTATGGAGATATTAGGCTTGTGTGCAGCTGCTCGGCCATGGAAACCCATTTCATGAAGCTCTCGACGAACAGTTCTTGTGCTGACGTTGCTTCCAGAGGCAGTTTGGAACTCAGTAGTGAGTGTTGCAACCGAGGACAGATTATTTTTACGCGCTACGCACTTCAGCAGTCCCGTTCTGTGAGCTTGTGTGGCCTACCATTTTGCGGCTGAGCCATTGTTGCTCCTAGACATTTCCACTTCACAATAACAGGACTTACAGTTGACTGGGGCAGCTTAAGCGGGGCAGAAATTTGACAAACTGACTTGTTGTAAAGGTGGCATCCTATGACGGTGCCACATTGAAAGTAACTGAGCTCTTCAGTACAGGCCCTTCTACTGCCAATGTTTGTCTATGTAGATTGCATGGCGGTGTCCTCGATTTTATACAGTACCTACCTCAATTACCTTGTAACCTCAATTACCTTGTAGCCCTGCACATTGACTCAGTAATGGTACACCGTGTATATGGCCAAGTTATCGTTACCCATTGTGTATTTATTACTTTTCTCTCTGCATTGTTGGGAAGGGCCCGTAATTAAGCATTTCACTTTTAGTCTACACCTGTTGTTTACGGAGCATGTGACAAATAACATTTGATATGACTCCCAGTGGATATGTGGTGGTAGTCTATTATTGCCATGGATTTTCATGTCAATCAGATCCGGTCAAAACGTATACATGGAATGTACCACATCCTTCACAACACAGGACAAACTCCTGAATGTGTGGAGGGGGTGTAGAACTTTCTGCTAATGTCCCAGCTGGTGTGAATGACTGGCAGGAAATAGGTGTGACCAGTTGGATAGAATGTGTAAACATCCCTGCCATGCTCTCTCCCTCCATTTACTAGCATTGGATGAATGAAAGGGCCAATGCAGACAGCTGGTCTCTGAATTGATTCACAGCCATATGAGGACCCAGCAGTGTCCTTTGAATAGCACTCTTTTTACACACACGAGATGCTATGAAGCAGTGAAGAAGATACACACTAATATCTCTATCCATTTGAGGTCTAATGACTTGTACAGTGTTCTGTTGCATATGTGATGTGCATTAGGGAATGTATACCATACCGTCGTTACCTCACACAACCCTACCAAGGTGCAAAGGATGGAGTAAACACTGACTGAATATACAACAGGGGAAATGGAAGTTGAATTGTAAGATTCTTGACTATGAGTATGATATGATATGCCATTTAGCAGACGCTTTTATCCAAAGCGACTTACAGTCATGTGTGCATACATTTTTGTGTATGGGTGGTCCCGGGGATCGAACCCACTGGCGTTACAAGCGCCGTGCTCTACCAGCTGAGCTACAGAGGATCACCAGGTTTACTGTATTATACCTGTCCTGGCTATACCTATAGGGACATTATGCTCCGATTTTTCCAGCCTCTGTGATTGGCGATTGAATGGCAAAGTGAGCTACCGTACTAACCTCAGTCTAGCCATACACAGCCATTTGTATGCAGACTGACTGAGAAAAAGCCTCCTACTAAGAAGGCCCTGGGGCTAGCAACAACACTCCCTCACAGCTATATCGCTGTTGCACTGCTCGACATATTGGCACTGACTTCATGCCAAATGCTAGGATTTTGTGCTTATGCTTACAATTATTTAAAACGCAGTTTTTTTGTCATGGTACTGAGTGGCTAAGGAAGAGGTGACAAACATTGAGCGCTTGACAATATCAAGTGATGCATCTACTATGATGTGTTCCATAGGTAGCTTCATTTGGGTGGTTTTAAAACGACCTGTTAAGTGGTTGATTTATTTATTTGCCAGTTAAGGTGATGACTAAATAAGAACCTAAGCATTAGGGGTGCGTGGGTAAAATCACTGGGGAAGCCAAGCTCCCCCCCCCCCCCCCCCCCCCCCAAAAAAAAACATATTACAACCTATGTGTTGTGATAATTGCGTTGTTTGCTGTTAATTAATATGCCTTGTGACCGTGATATATAAGCCTAAAGGCAGAGACAATAAGAAGTCAGTGGCAGAATAAATTCAACCAAACCTTTGTTTAATCACAAAACCGGATAGCAACCTCTGTCTGGTGAAGTCCACGACGCATATTGCATGTAACAGACAGTTACATTACCTACAGAATGGTCAAGCAAGTTAATGTTTCCAACATTTTCGGACCACTAAAATATCGATTTAGAACCACAGAGAGTTACCGCAACTCGCAAAGAAAATAGAAGCTCCCTCCACTATTCCGTCACCATTTCAACATCATCAAATCACCTCTGCGTAGTCTAATACAGTGACAACTAAAAGATACCAAAAACTATTTAGTCCAATCAACATAAGCTAATATGATGTGGCTGTCCATGGTTCTGATTTCCGTTTGTGTGTGTTGTTGCATGCGTTCGTGCACGTAGAAAAACATGTTGACTCACCCTACTTGTAGAGAAACGGCAATGCCATCCTCCTCTCTTTCATGTTGACGAAATGGTATATCACTCTGTCATACAGTACACGCTTTTATTTTTTGTTGTCCTAGGCTACCTGGTTAAAATGCTTGCTCGCTAGCCTAACTTCAATTCATGGGCAACGTTAGCTAGTTAACACTAGCCTTCTACATCTAGCTACATATTGAACTTCCATCCTCTCAGGCCAGGGGCACAACAATGTATGAATTAATGGATCAGAATCGCCGTTATAATCATTGGCCAGTATGGAGAATTAAGTAAAACCACAAGTCCAAATCCCTATTTCCATCAATCGCTAATTTAGGAATGGGCCAATTTTAGCTAGCTAGCCACCGGAGGCCAACAACACAATGAGATGCAACAATTCAAGTTGTTTCTGTTAATGACATGCTCTCAAAGCGATTTGATAGGAGCGACGCCAAATCCAAGCTGGCTTCCCTTGACACTTTTTTCTGCCAGGACCCATTCACAGTTGAGTTCGCTCAGTTTAGCTCAACGACGCTGATTGGATACATTTTAAATACTTTTGTCAAGGGAGGCCAAATGTTCGCTGGCTTCCCTTACATTCAATGCTACAGGCGGCAACAATGTCCTACTCTTTTGGACCAGACAGTATCAGATAGATGGCCTACACGTAGAGCGACAGAGGGGCTCTGTTTTGCTCGCTCGAATGCCTTCTCCTGTGAGATCCATCCAGCCTCTTGCGAATTGAAGGACAATTATGAAACACATAAAGAGACATTATTATTTATTTCTTTTTTGATAAAAAAAATGTTTGGAAGCCTGGCTTCCCTTGGCATCCATTAGTACACGTCACTGAACCTAAGTCAGAAGACAATGACATGTCCAAGTGAAAATAGCTACCCTTTCCCCCTCTGCCAACTTGGTCAAGCTGATTTAGAGTAAACTAGATCTATGAGACTAATCAAGGGGAACCAGCTGTCATCTGTTTATGTGGCCCACCATAAAACTGGATTCACTATTCTGGTATGGTGTTGTAGGAACTCAACAATGGACAAGAGAAAAACGATAGCCAACATATCAGGTCATCAGTATTGTCGAACCTTTGACAAGGACATCGATGTTACATTTTTACAACCATAGAATTAGGAATTATAATACAACCACTAGGAATTATAATACAACCACCAAACGATGGTAACATTTTGAATAGCTGTTAAAACAACCAATTTAAGCCTGTCAATTATATTAATATGGCAGAAGTAATGAAAACTTATTGTCAACATTGGACAAAACTGTCAACAAAAACAAGTCAGAACCAATTGAATTTCATAACGCATTCCTCTTTGCAATTTCCACTTCCATCGCGCGCATGCACAGTCGTAGGGTAGACTATAGTGCAGCCGTGGTGCAGAATACGCCACTGCCAATTTTGTGTAATCGGAACCAGCGCATCCAGTGCCACTGCGGACATTCGACATCAATTCTACTCGCGTCATACACTATACCCGCAGGTTATACACCAAGCATATTCGGTCAGAAATGTTATTGTGTAATTGTTGTCAATTAGTTATAATCTTGTCTCAGGCACCGTTATGAACTTTCGGACAAGATGCAGTCCGTTTTAAACCTACCTGTACAGTTGTGCAATAACAATAAGCATTGACTTTACCTTTGGATAGAGAAAATTCAATCGTCGCCTCTAGTACTTTGCAAATCACAACTTTGTGTTGCAAATCCTGCTCATTCCATTTAGAGGGTTTTCTTCTATGCGTTGACTTCAACGCTCAAGAAGTAGCGGAGGATGTTCATCGGATACTGACTGTAGAGCGCACCGTTTGCCCAAAGACAGTACCCCGTCTGGGGTAGACTGACAGTCAAGGGAACCAATCAATGTAACATTACAGCATAGCAACATTGTGCCCATTGGCTACAGATGGTAATGTGGCTGACCAATCGTTGCGGGGAGAGCATCAAGTGCCTACTTTTTTTTTACGCAGGCTACGTTAGGTGCTTACTGTACGTTACGCAGAAGTGAACCACATTAGCCGCGGTCATGAACAGACTCTTTGCAGACTTTGCGCCTCAGTAAGTAGCCTACCAACTTACCAGACAACATGGACAAATGTCCATATTGTCCATAATTACAGTCATGGTAGGAAAGCAAATAGGCCTACATACATTAAGCATATACAGTTCAGCAGCAAAAAAATAATAATGTTTACACTGCTGCTACTCGCTGTTTATTATCTATGCATATAGTCACTTTACCCCTACCTACATGTACAAATTACATCGACTAAGCTGTACCCCCGCACATTGACTCGGTACCGGTACCCCCTGTAAACAGCCTCGTTATTGTTATTTTATTGTGTTACTTTTTATTTTTTACTTTAGTTTATTTAGTTAATATTTCTTGAACTGCATTGTTGGTTAAGGGCTTGTAAGTAAGCATTTCACGGTAAGGTCTACGCCTGTTGTATTCGGCGCATGTGACAAATACAATTTGATTTGAGCAAACCATGTACCTGCAGAACAATATATTTATTTTAAGCATTGAAATAAAAGCTGGAGACATGCATGACCATGCCATACATACAGGACTGAATGACAAAATAAAGGAAATACAAAAGATACATACGAAGCATTGGAAATGACAGCGTTATTTATCCTTTTGCAAGGAAAATAATTACTTTTTGTTAGGGGCGCATGTAGAGAATTCTCACACCACACTCGAGAACTTGGTTAACAGCGACATCTAGTGGGTAATGCTGTGCCTTATCTGATAATTCAGTGGCTAGGGTTCACATAGGCAAAAATAAGACTCGTCATGGCTAGAAGGGTTCCAGCATTTGTCCAATTTTGTGCGTTTTAGCTAAACCTAACCCTTTTCATAATTCTCCTAACCTGATGCGTAAATTCTACTAACCTGCTATGAAACGTCAAATCAGACGTTAATTCGACAAAAGCTGCATCCCTTCTAGCCGTGACCAAGTTCCATGGCAGAAATCAGCTAGAGGGGTCGGTATCAGTGACCACTTCACATGCACACCAATGTCCAGTTATTATTAGGGATACTGAATTATTGTGTTTTTGAGTTGACACAAACATATTCCGTTTACAACAACCTAAAAAAAAGCTTATATCCCGATTATGAGAAACCCCGATAAAATGCCTGGGAAATGCTGATCAAAGACAGGATACTGGGGCATGTAAACATCTTATCCTGTTTACTGTTGTTTTTGCGGTCAGCGCAGGCTCAGTTTCGCATATCATGGGTCTTGTGTGATGTTTTCATCTGATTGTCAAACAAATCACTTCAAAAAAAAGTAGGCTACCTGCGCAGTTCAATCCACAACAATAATAATTACATTTACTACTGGCTACGTTCACCCCTAATTTAGACACGTTTCTGCTTATAATTTCCGACATTTGGTAGGCCATTTGTTTGTCAACTATAGTTTGATACATGCAGCTTCTCTTCTGTCATAACTTGTTGCCCCAGAATACTGTCTTACATCGATAGAAGGAATGCATTAGTAATCTAGTTAACACCGGTAAAGTTGTCTGTTTGGTTTAGGGACTTGGGAGAAAACGCAATGCCTCCAAAACAGTGGAAAGATTGGTTTTAAGGAAATTAAAAACTGAGAAAACGACGAAACACGTTTCTGATAAGACTTCACAGTGGGTCTTGGGTGCATATTTTATGTGGTTGAAATACTGTCTGCTTGCATAAGTGTCAAAGATAACACATTACATGCATATTCGCATTTTCTCAAGAGGAGATGCTGAAAGAAAGAAATCATATTTCTCCATTCCTGTCCCAAATTAACATTTGTTGTATAATTTCACTGCAAGAACTGCATAATTCTGCAGGAGTTAATATTACGCAACATGTGAGAGGTTATAGGCCTACATACAGTCAGTTTCCATATTTCAGTTACTATTCCATTTAACCCATATACTTAAATTAGTTATGCTTATTCACGGATACAGGGATAATCATGAGCGGGATATCAAAGGTGCATGTAAACAGCTTATCCCGAATAAGACCTTAAGCGGTATATGAGCTACTATCTGGAATACTGTGCACATGTAAATGTTTGTATATAAACAAATCATTGGTCGGAACCCGTTGTAAAGCATTGACACCTTGCAACACGTCAAACCAATCAAATGCCTTACTTGGGCGGAGTTCCAAAGGTGCTCACCAGATTAGTGCGGTAGGAGCAACAGTGCATGAGGACTAAATGTCAACAAAGCAAGCACGGGTGACAAAACATTTTAGAACGTTTGAAGCACGCTGGGTTTCTCAGCATTTTTCTGTGATTTCGAGATGAGCTAAAGCAAGCGGGGAGAAATGGTCTACAATCAATATTTATAAAAAAAAAAAAATGTGAAGGCTGTAAAAGCTAGCATGAGGGACAAGTATCTGATGCATTTAGCGCTCAAATAACCGACAGCTGAACGGTGAGGTGGGCAATTATTGTTTGAGGACAGTAAAAACAATAAAATAGGCTATAAAGTTTTGAATATGCTACACATCGAAGTGTTTGTTATAGGCAGGTAAGGACACGTACGACCCAACTGTGGATCATTTGGCCAACATCGCTCATTTATTGATGGCGCTGGCAGCGCCCAGTTGGAGGTTTCTTTCTCTCACTCTTTCTACTCTGTCCCCGGGTCCACTCGGAACGGGTCTTTGTTTAAAAAATTAATAATATATGCATATTTGGTCAGGTTGGAAAGCCACGGATCCATTTCGGAACAGGTCGAAGACCTCTAACATAGATCAACCATGTACTGTTAATCTATGGGCACAACTACAATCATTTTGCTTGCAACATTGCTAAAATGAATTAAATTAAATGAATCTCATGAAATGTTACCTGAAATGCTCATCTTCTGTAGCCTAATTGTCATCTCCTTATTTTCATCCTGTACCTAAATTACAAGGGTTGGATATGCACTAAACAATTGAATGTCAGCACTTAAAACGCATGTAAAAAAAAAAAAAAAAAAAATCTGGTATCATTTTTAAATTGAGAACATATGCAACATGTAAACAAGGTGTGACTTTAGCTATTCTCTGCTTCAGATGACATATGCCCATAAGGCCAGTAATGCCATCATGCTGTAGGCCTATGGCTGCAAAATGAATTAACATAGCTGTTATACTGAGAGTGACAATCAAATAAAACAGATTGGAGAGTTTACAACTAGAAAGGAAATGTTAATTTGAGAATACAACACAGAAACTGACATTACAGACAGAACCCCTTCCCTTCTTTATTGCAGTATTGTGATGTGATTAATCAACATTGACAGTAGTTCATCAACAATTTAAAAAGTTTCAACACTTCACTTCAAAATAATCAACACTTAAATGTACAATTAAGCTAACTCGTATGTAAAGATTAAACATCTTGGTCTAAACAACAATAGATAATTCAGTAGTATAAAGTAGGCTATTATTACTAAAGCTCCACTGATCCCTGATCTACTGGGTGAGCAAACTTCTATTCCAGCCCAGCAAAAGCACACTTGATTATCAACTCATTAGATTTGATGAGTTGAATCATGTGTGTTATTGCTGGGCTGAAACAGAACCCAGCAGACCTCCAGCAGGGTTGGCCTGCTCCAATTGTAATAGGTTTATACATTGTGTGTGATGTTTAACTGTATGCAATATTTTTGTATGCAACATTTGCTAGCATAGGTAGTCCTACACATATGATATACCCTTAGTCTCTTGGGACAGTCATTGGGACCTTTCTCTTCATCTGCAAACAGGCTTTCACAGCTTTCCATATCTGAGGACTGAAAACAACAAAGAAACAGGCTTCATCATACTCATTAGATGGCACTGAATATTTTGTTGCTATTATCTCTCTGTCCTCAGTTTTCCCCTCTAGGGACTGGAACTGGATAATATTTTCATAATGTCCTCCCACAAAATGACCTGCCCTATCCAGTAGCCTACACTCTCCCTTTACTGACAGCTGGAGCTGCAATTTCACCCTTTTTCATAGCTGTTATCTACAAATGCATTTGGAGACTGTTTTTAATTTACAATGATTCCATCAAGATAGCTAGATAATAGGAAGTTAGCTAGCTGCTCAGTTGAGTTAGCCTACAAAGTGGCCCACTGTAGCCAGCTAACTAGCTAATAATACATCGTTTTTTACACAAATGTATTTACTTACTTGAATAGGTTCTTCCACTGCCTCAGTTTTTTTGGTCCTTACAAAAACAAAATAATGGGCAATCTTGACGGTATTTTCGGTGGTAACGTTAGGAAAGCACAGCCAGAGCGGTTTAGAACGTGTTGTGTCGTTTGATTTGATTTTACCAGCGTAATCCACTTTCAATTTCAATAAATATAACGCTACAACTACGCGGACGGAAAACAGTCACGCACATAACACACAGCACCCCTTCTACCCGTGTGTGGGGTGAGGGTTCTTAAAATGTAACATCCAATCAGCGGACCATTCAAACCATTTTTGCAATACAAAATTCTCCAGACCTCCAAGGGAGGCATGACAACGACGTGATATTCGAGGTATGGCAACGCGAGACCAGGCTTCACATAATAAACGTTACATGCCATTTTATTTATTGAGGACAAACTAATGATGTGTGATCTCACCATTATATGGTTGTCTGAATAATGATCATCCTAGAGTCAAGCTCAAAATTAGCCTCTATACAGGCTGGATTGAGTATGCACAATAACAGTGAATAAAGCCAACAGACAAGGTTTATCCATAAGATGCCATTTATTCTCTCCTTAATAGACATTGTTTACATGAACAACAGAGCTGAGAGAACAATATCTTCAATTTGAATATATCCAAGTGGAGACAGTTAGTGCAGACCAACACCTTTTTCTTTTAAGAGATTGCCATTCATAATAAACTAATCCAGTCCAATTCCATTTAACTCAGTTTGTTAGGGGATAAAACAACACCAGTCAAGAGGTCACGGTCCAACCAACTCAGTAATTTTTACACTAACCTTGCAAAAAAGTGAGAGCCACATTGCGGTGTAATGTTATGAGTGGGGGTTACTGTGGTGGAAGGGGGCTGGTAGTGTTGGCACGCAGGATGCCTCTGAGGACCTTGTAGTTGGCCAGGGGCTGGTTGTCTTTAGGTGGGTAACATGGGCCACGGTCTGTGACGTAGGAGTAGGGGAAACGTAGGACCCACAGGCCATCAGGGGGCAGCACCAGCTCCGTCTGCTCCGGATGGAACACTGGACAGGGAGGAGGGCCCGGTTGGACCTAAGAAGAAAAAGAAAGGGGCAGTGTTTCACAGTCAACATTAATCAAGCATTACATCTTTCTCATTAATCAACAAAGGGACTATTTGCCAACAAAAATTAATCTCCAGTCCACACAGCATATTGCTACACTAAGAACTCAAAATGAGTTCAGTTCTAATTGCATTGAGAGTTTAGCATAACTAGTGTTTGTCACCAGGAAAACATGAGAAGTGAGGAATTTACTTATAGATAAGTTAATTATTCTCATGTTTTCCTGGTGACTAACACCAGTTGATAGGTAAATGTAGGCCAGGCAAGTGTACCTGTGGGTTTAGTGTTATCTCCAGGTTGGCGTCAGGGACCACAATGTAGAGACGCGCCAGCTGGGCGTAGTGGGGCTTCAGGCCGCGCCCCTGGGCTGGAGAAGGGATGTACAGGGGCATGTCTGTGTTCAGGGCCCTGGTGGCCGGCTCTTTGGCCCCTCCAGGCCCCAGCACCTTCACCACTTTATCAGGCCCTGAGCTAAGGAAACGCCGGCCCCTACTGTCCTCGTACTCAAAGCCCACGAAGGCCCGGGCCACGTCATCCCGCCTGCGTCCCCTACCAAGGCCCCCTGCGCTCCCCCTCTTTCCCACCAGGGCTTTGTTGGGGGCTGGCCAGGAAGAGGGTCCCCCATCCAGGGGCTCAATTAAGCCCACTTCCTCTTCGGAGCGGGAGCGAATCACCACGTCCCAGGGCAGGAGGAAGGAGGAGCCAGGTAGGAAGCCCAGCTGCTCCAGGCCAGTGTGGGGGTTGTAGGCCTTGGCAGGGCCCAGCTTGACCAGCGACCAGCTAGAGAACTTGGGCAGCAGGCCTTTGGGGCAGCCTGAGTGGAGCATGCCTGGGAGGTACTCCACGGTGGAGGCCTGGCGGTCCACCAGGCTGGGCCTCTTCTCGTGGCCCTCGCCTCCCCCTCCATCTCCATAGGGCCCCAGGCTGTCAGTGGACTGACCCAGGCTGAGGGCCAGGCTGAGGCTGGTGCTCTCCCCAGGGGTGTGGGACACTGGGTGGGACGCTGGTATGCTCTCCTTCAGCTTCTCCCCCTCGGATGGCCCTGACCCAGGCTCTGACCCTGACGAAGGGACTGGGGCTGCCACCTCAGGGGACCTGGGTGCTTCTTCGCAGGCAGGGGCTGGTTCTGGGGTGCTCGGCTGGAAAACAGGAAAGTCGATCCTCTCCAGCTTCCCGCAGCATTTCTCTTCAAGCATCTATAGGGCAACAGGGTGAGACAAAGTGAAAACAAGACTGCGGTACAGTTGGGGGTTACTGAGGGTTATGCTGGTGTCCTCTGCAGCAACCTGGTCTCAGAGCATTTCGTATTAGTCTGTACGTAAATCGGAGACACTCCATTTAGTATGAATTGATTCGTATGGTATGTACTAATTTGTGGATGTCCATTGCTCATTTCATTTGACATGTTACAAATAACAATGAATGTATGTTAAAAATGTGCGAAATGTACAATATGTTACGAATTTGCAAAACGTATGATATGTTAGGAATTCTAGCTAGGTTGCTAAGTGGCTAATGTTAGCTAGTCTTGGGATAGCTAACACTAAGTACATGCAAAGTAGTTGAAAAGTTGGTAATTAGCTAAAACGCTAACGTGTCTGATGAGATTCGAACTCACAACCTTTGGGTTGCTAGACATTTGCATTATACATTCACCCATGAACAACCACCTTACTATCGTTTTTGCCTTAAATAACCATCTGGCTCATGTAACCATACCAAACGTAACATATCATACTAATTTGAGTGTCCCGGTCTTATATTTACTATGTTACGTCTAGTCTATGAGACCAGGCTGTCTGCAGAGATCTGTTGAAGTGGATAGTATTTTAATATCTTATGCTGATCCCCATTCCCTGTTGCTGAAGCAGCAGCTACTCTTCCTGGGGTCCACACAAAACATGACATACAGTGAGAGAAAAAAGTATTTGATCCCCTGCTGATTTTGTATGTTTGCCCACTGACAAACACATGATCAGTCTATAATTTTAATGGTAGGTTTATTTGAACAGTGAGAGACAGAATAACAACAACAAACAACAATCCAGAAAAACGCATGTCAAAAATGTTATAAATTGATTTGCATTTTAATTAGGGAAATAAGTATTTGCAAAACTTGATTTAGTACTTGGTGGCAAAACCCTTGTTGGCAATCAGAGGTCAGACGTTTCTTGTAGTTGGCCACCAGGTTTGCACACATCTCAGGAGGGATTTTGTCCCACTCCTCTTTGCAGATCTTCTCCAAGTCATTAAGGTTTCGAGGCTGACGTTTGGCAACTCGAACCTTTAGCTCCCTCCACAGATTTTCTATGGGATTAAGGTCTGGAGACTGGCTAGGCCACTCCAGGACCTTAATGTGCTTCTTCTTGAGCCACTCCTTTGTTGCCTTGGCCGTGTGTTTTGGGTCATTGTCATGCTGGAATACCCATCCACGACCCATTTTCAATGCCCTGGCTGAGGGAAGGAGGTTCTCACCCAAGATTTGACGGTAAATTGCCCCGTCCATCGTCCCATTGATGCGGTGAAGTTGTCCTGTCCCCTTAGCAGAAAAACACCCCCAAAGCATAATGTTTACACCTACATGTTTGACGGTGGGGATGGTGTTCTTGGGGTCATAGGCAGCATTCCTCCTCCTCCAAACATGGCGAGTTGAGTTGATGCCAAAGAGCTTGATTTTGGTCTCATCTGACCACAACACTTTCACCCAGTTCTCCTCTGAATCATTCAGATGTTCATTGGCAAACTTCAGACGACCCTGTATATGTGCTTTCTTGAGCAGGGGGACCTTGCGGGCGCTGCAGGATTTCAGTCCTTCACGGCGTAGTGTGTTACCAATTGTTTTCTTGGTTACTATGGTCCCAGCTGCCTTGAGATCATTGACAAGATCCTCCTGTGTAGTTCTGGGCTGATTCCTCACCGTTCTCATGATCATTGCCACTCCACGAGGTGAGATCTTGCATGGAGCCCGAGGCCGAGGGAGTTTGACAGTTATTTTGTGTTTCTTCCATTTGCGAATAATCGCACCAACTGTTGTCACCTTCTCACCAAGCTGCTTGGCGATGGTCATGTAGCCCATTCCAGCCTTGTGTAGGTCTACAATCTTGTCCCTGACATCCTTGGAGAGCTCTTTGGTCTTGGCCATGGTGGAGAGTTTGGAATCGATTGATTGCTTCTGTGGACAGGTGTCTTTAATACAGGTAACAAGCTGAGATTAGGAGCACTCCCTTTAAGAGTGTGCTCCTAATCTCAGCTCGTTACCTGTATAAAAGACACCTGGGAGCCAGAAATCTTTCTGATTGAGAGGGGGTCAAATACTTATTTCCCTCATTAAAATGCAAATCAATTTATAACATTTTTGACATGCGTTTTTCTGGATTATTTTGTTGTTATTCTGTCTCTCACTGTTCAAATAAACCTACCATTAAAATTATAGACTGATCATTTCTTTGTCAGTGGGCAAACGTACAAAATCAGCAGGGGATCAAATACTTTTTTCCCTCACTGTAATACAGAACAGCAATAGACAAGAATATCTCAAGGACTGAACTACACACATTTAAAATAATATAACAAAATAAAAGGTCCTAATGACAGTTACACACATTGCTGACACACATGTACACAACAGTACATACACACAGTCCATTCGGAAAATATACACACAGTCCATTCGGAAAGTATTCAGACCCCTTGACTTTTTCCACATTTTGTTACGTTACAGCCTCCCCCTATACATTCCAGGAACGCGCTTGGTTTCCAACCACCTATCACTACCCTTCATCCCCATCCATTTTAGCAAACGGTTCAGGAAGATTTTCTGGATTGTCAGGCGACCATTCAAACCAATCAAGGACTTGACAGAATGTAAAGACGTGTGATATCCCTCAGTTTCCTCAGTTTGGTAACTGACTGATGTATTGAAGGCTGCTGGGTGAAGTTTTTCTCTCGCCAAATGGACACATACAAGGACACATCCCCAACCTGTATCTCTTTAGCTAACGAACGCTGATATTAAATTACTGACCCTATATTTATTTTTGTAAATAGACTAATTATTTTGTAGGCAACTTGGCACAAGTTTTACGCCTCATCAGGAACATTTTTTTTTTTTTTTTTGCGAACCCTAGGTTATTTTCAAAAGGGTGCTTTCTCATGTTAAAAAGAGAGGAAAGACAAATCAAGTGTGAAGAAGCAACAGATATGTACGATTAAAGGATCTCACCCACGGAATCAGGATGTTTATAGGCTACTGTACTGTATTTGAGAGGAAAGCTAAATTGTTGTCATAGTCCCGTGTAGCTCAGTTAGTGGAGCATGGCGTTTGCAACGCCAGGGTTGTGGGTTTGATTCCCACGGGGGGCCAGTATGAAAAAAAATGTATGCACTCACTAACTGTAAGTCGCTCTGGATAAGAGCGTCTGCAAACTGACTAAAATGTAAATGTAAAATTGAACAGGTTTAAAAACAGAAATACCTTATTTACATAAGTATTCAGACCCTTTGCTATGAGACTCGATAATTGAGCTCAGGTGCATCCTGTTTCCATTGATCATCCTTGAGATGTTTCGACAACTTGATTGGAGTCCACCTGTGGTAATTTCAATTGATTGGACATGATGAACAGAGCAAAGTTCAGAGAGATCCTTGATGAAAACCTGCTCCAGAGCGCTCAGGACCTCAGACTAGGGCGAAGGTTCACCTTCCAACAGGACAATGACCCTAAGCACACAGCCAAGACAACGCAGTAGTGGCTTCGGGACAAGTCTCTGAACATCCTTGAGTGGCCCAGCCAGAGCCCGGACTTGAACCCGATCGAACATCTCTGGAGAGACCTGAAAATAGCTGTGCAGCGACGCTCCCCATCCAATCTGACAGAGCTTGAGAGGATCTGCAAATAAGAATGGGAGAAACCCCAATACAGGTGTGCAAAGCTTTTGCGTCATACCCAAAAAGACTAGAGGCTGTAATCGCTGCCAAAGATGCTTCAATAAAGTACTGAGTAAAGGGTCTGAATACTTATGTAAATGTGATTTCAGTTTTTCTATAAAAAAAATAAAGTGCACAAAAAAAGTATGGGGTATTGGTGGGTACTGGAACACGCTGTTGTACACGTCGATCAAGAGCATCCCAAACATGCTCAATGGGTGACATGTCTGGTGAGTATGCAAGCCATGGAAGAACTGGGACATTTTCAGTTTCCAGGAACTGTGTACAGATCCTTGTGACAGGGAGCCATGCATTTTAATGCTGAAAGATGTGATGAAGGCAGATGAATGGCACGACAATGGGCTTCAGGATCTCGTTACGGTATCTGTTCACTCAAATTGCCATCGATAAAATGCAATTGTGTTCGTTGTCCGTAGCTTGTGCCTGCCCATACCATAACCCCACCACCACGGGGCACTCTGTTCACAACGCTGACATCAGCAAACCGCTTGCCCACACGACGCCATACACGCTGTCTGCCATCTGCCCAGTACAGTTGAAACCGGGATTAATCCGTTTAGAGCACACTTCTCCAGCGTGCCAGTAGCCATCGAATGTGAGCATTTGCCCACGGAAGCTTGGTTACGACGCCAAACTGCAGTTTATGTAGAAATTATTCGGTTGTGCAAACCCACAGTTTCATCAGCTGTCCGGGTGGCTGGTCTCAGACGTCCCCGCAGGTGAAGAAGCCGGATGTGGAGGTCCTGGGCTGGCGTGGTTACACGTGGTCTGCGGTTGTGAGGATGGTTGGACGTACTGCCAAATTCTCTAACAACATTGGAGGCGGCTAATGGTAGAGAAATTAACATTACATTCTCTGGCAACAGCTCTGGTGGACATTCCTGCAGTCAGCATGCCAATTGCACGCTTCTTCAAAACTTGAGACATCTGTGGCATTGTGCACATTTTAGAGTGGCCTTTTATTGTCCCCAGCACAAGTTGCACCTGCGTTATGATCATGCCATTTAATCAGCTTCTTGATATGCCACACCTGTCAGGTGGATGGATTATCTTGGCAAACGAGAAATGCTCACTAACAGGGATGTAAAGAAATGTGTGCACAACATTGGAGAGAAATACGCTTTTTGTGCATATGGAATCTTATTTTAGCTCCTGAAACATGGGACCAACACGTTACATGTTGCGTTTATATTTTTGTTCAGTGTAAGTTGATTATACAGAACATTTGGAATTGAACACAATATTTCTC